GAATAAATTATTGCAGAGATTTACATTTAAAGTCTCCCTTTCCTCTATAGATAGACAGCAAGTTGCACAAATTCTTCTATTTTCTGTTCACTTCAAGCAGCACAATTTTGACCTTTCCCTTTGACCCTCAGTGTACTCGTACTGAGACGGAGCCCTCTGAGAAGACGCACGTCGGCATGGCCGGTGCTGCTCCACTTCCTTCTTCCCCAAACAAGGTCACGTGAGTCCCGAGGGTGGTTTCCTCACCACAGCGCCCTTGCCTGTGCTTCTGCACTGACCTAAGCAGCAGCCTGGTGTCATCCAAAGACTGAGACCTTCTGCCCAAATCCACCGCTTACTAAAAGCCATCCTTTCACTAGACTGGGCAGTGGTGCCCCCCGCAGCTTCCTCCTCAGGTCCTCCTGGGATGATCAAAAGCCTGAAAGTAGTTGGAGACTCTCAAGGGCTACGTGAAGGTGACGTATGTAACTAAACTCCACCCAGCTCAAGCTTTAGCCACTCTGTGACTCTCCTGCCCACAGGCATTTCTCTGTCACTCAGCACTCGGCCACACACACTGTGGGACTCTGGCTGCTTTGCAGTGATGACCGACACCCGCAGCCTGTGTGTAAGCCGCGTGGGGAAACGATCATACTTTAAACTTTTTATTCCTAATCCAACCCTACTTTATTCCTTCTCCGCAGCTCTGTGCTAAGCGCCTGAAGGTGCTCATTAAATCCTTCAGCACTTTAACCAAAGGGTGCATTTGGCTCTAAACATTCAACCCAATCCTTTATCAGTAGGCCACATGCTTCCTTAAACTGGTGCTGTTTACTTCCCAAGTCAAGTCTAGCAAAGGACAAGGATTGGAGTGGGGTTGGGAGGAAGGAAAAAGCTTTTACCACAATGTATCTACCACTGACACCAGTTGACATGGTCCAGCCATCATCCAGCAAGCCCACGATTCAAACACGATCTAAATGAAATGCTTATTTCTTGGGATTCAAGGTAAGACCTTGTCCCCAGTCCCGCGGAGCTCCTGTTCCAGTTGGGAAGACAACAGTAGAAGCAGATACTACAGTGTGCCAAATGCTATTCCAACACATGAAGCAGGGGCAGGAAATGAGAAGTTGGAGCAGCTGCCTCCGACCGAGGGACACAGGGAAACTGAGAATTCCTCACGAAGGAGACATTCCCAAGCCACATCCCCAGGTCCTTCATCAGTGAGCGTCCCCACGTCTCAGATGAGTTTCCGGCCTTTGTTGGGATGCTTGTCCCACCTAAACCTCCAGAGCCGAGTCCAGGCTCAAGGCCTCTTCCCCAGAGGTGCTTCCCTCATTAACTGTTCCATTCCAAACATTCCTTTCTTTCTTTCTTTTTTTTTAGAGACAGAATCTCGCGCTGTCATCCAAGCTGGAGTGCAGCGGCACATTCTAGCTCACTGTGACTTCTGCCTCCTGGGTTCATGCGAATTCTCCTGCCTCAGTCTCCCAAGTAGCTGGGATACAGGCGTGCGCCACCCGATGCCCAGCTAATTTTTGTATTTTTGTAGAGATGAAGTTTCACCGTGTTCGCCAGACTGGTTTCGAACTCCTGACCTCAGGTGATCCACCCCGCTAGGCTTCCCAAAGTGCTGGGATTATAGGCGTGAGCCACCGCACCCAGCCAGCCAGGCTGGTCTTGACTCTTGACCTCAGACGATCCACCCACTTTGGGCCTCCCAAGGTGCTGAGATTACAGGTGTGAGCCACTGCACCCAGCCCCGGAACATTCCTTTCTTCTCCATCCTTGGCCAATTATGTCAACCTATTTTGATTGCTTCACCTTATTCTGCCAATGTTTGATATTACTATCATTGTAAAGATTCCCCAAGCCCCCCATCCCAAGCCTAGGGTCTCAACTATGATATAACCTCCTGGAAGGAGTCAGGCCAACCCCATTTTTCCCTCCTTACCTAGCCCAACACCAGATTACTCTGAAGCACCAGTAAAAAAAAAAAAAAAAGAGAGAGAGGTTTTACTTAGATTATTCCCCTGCATAACTGAGTTTATCAAGAGAGGACAAAATCAATAGTGGAAGAAAAGGTCAGCCCACTGAAGGACTGCTAAAAAAAACCATGTGTCAAGGAAGCGAAGTTCCACAAAATGTTTGCATAAACAAACAATGATGAAGCTAAGCCATGGGGTCATTACAAATACTCATAAATTGGCTTTCTTTTCTACACTGATAAAAAGTATCATTTTTCCTCTATACTGTGTTTTAGTGCATAGACATGAGAAAAAGCTCTTACACGTGAAGACTGGCTTTGCTCTTACAAATCCCTTGAACACCAGCACATGTGTGAAAGCTTCTTCAGGAAGCTACTTTATTACATGTGAAAACTGATGAAAATTTTCTTGGCGTAAATCGTAGTGAGATTTTAAATATGATTATTTTAGGGGAAAAATCAAGTTATTTGGTTTTAGATACACAAAGTAAAAGTTTTTCAGTAAATAAATAATACAAATGCATGAGACTATACAGATTCTAATATTATTGCAATCCTTAGTAAATAACAGCATTCTACAAAATGCACTGGTCTCTGAAGCTCTAGATCTCGACACATGGCGGCTAAGATACTACAACTCCTTTTTCCTCCCCTAACCAACACGTAACTAATGCAACATAAAATAGAAACAAAATATGCTTTTAAATATGCTGCTGACATTGAAGGGAAAAAAGAAAGGAAACTGGCTGGGCGCGGTGGCTCACGCCTATAATCCTAGCCCTTGGACGGCTGAGGCGGATGGATTACTTGATGTCAAGAGTTCAAGACCAGCCTGGCCAACATAGTGAAACCTGGTCTCTACTAAAAATACAAATATAACTGGGCATGGTGGCTCACATCTGTAATCTCAGCACTTTGGGAGGCCAAGGTGGGCAGATCACTTGAGGTCAGCAGTTCAAGACCAGCCTGGCCAACATGGTGAAACCCTGTCTCTACTGAAAATACAAAAATTAGCCAGGTGTGGTGGTGCATGCCTGAGGTCCCAGCTACTCGGGAGGCTGAGGCAGGAGAATCTCTCAAACCCAGAAGGCGGAGATTGCAGTGAGCTGAGATTGCACCACTGTACTCCAGCCTGGGCAACAGAGCAAGACTCTTTCTCAAAAAAGAAAAGAAGGAAACTTTCTAGGTGCAAGAAATGAAGAGTGGAAAAAGGCTGAGTAGAAGGCTTGAATTGGTACTGCAAGCACCCAGGCTGAGAAACCAATCCAGACAGAAGCAACAGGGCTTACAAGCAGGGTTTTTGCCCTCTGGAGACAGGAGGCAGGACATGGAGGTGCCATGGCTGTGCAAGTCCAGGGCACTCAAACATAGGCCTAGTCCCATTTTCACCATTTCAAGTGTGCCGTGCAGGGGCCTCAAGCTCATTCACACTGTGGGCTTGCGTTCAGCCTCAGCCGATCCCCGGAGCCCACTCTGTTCCACTCGCTATGGGTCTCCTGGAGTTTCACCGTTGTCCTAAAATTCCTGTTGCTGCTTGGTGTCCAGTTCACCCATCTTTCTCCTCATCCCAACCCAGTAACGTTCGTGGTCTCCTCGATGGATATTTCTTTCATCTCTAGAAGTTTTATTTGGGTCTTTTTATAATTTTTCATATCTCTTTCAACATGTTTACATTTTCCTCTACCTTCCCTTGAACACACAGATTTATAATAACTGTTTTCACCCTTCTTTACTAATTCTATCATTTGTATTATTTCTCGCTCTATTTCCGTTGTCTGAGTTTTCTCATTAGAGATCATATTTGCCTACTTCCTTGAATCATGTCTGATAATTTTTGATGTCAGACTTTGCTAATTACTCCTAGTTGGGTGCACCATGTTTTGACCCTCCAATCCCAGTAATTTTTCTTCAGCTTTATTATGGGATGCCAGCAGTTACTTGGAAACAACTTGATCCCTCAAGGCTTGCGTTTAAGTTCTGCCATGTGGCACCAGCAGCCTTCATTCCAGGGCTAACTTCTCACTCGACCCAAGGCCTCGTGTATCACGAGGTATTTCTGCCCTGGCGGGAGCAGTCACAATTCCCAGGCCTGTGTGAGCTCTGCGGACTGTCTCCCAGGCTTCTCCCCAGTGGTTCTTTCCCGGCCTCGTCCTTTCCTCCCGCTCCTGTGCTGGTCAGTGCTCAGCTGAGGCTTGAGGGGAGCCCTCTGCCCTTCTCCAGATGTGACCCTATCAAGCAACACAGGCTGCTGCTGGGGGGAGGAAGAGGCCCCAGGCACTGACGTCCTTCCGAGGAGCAGGAGGGCAGAGCCTGGGAGCAGGACCACTCAGCCAGCCCTTGGTAGCTGAAGGAGGATGAGCAGGGATTTGCAAAGGCCACACACATTGCTTCTGAGCCTTCCAGGGCTCTCCCACCACCCTGGGGATACACCACGACCTGGTGCCGAGGAAGGCATCTGACAGAAAGGTTACAGTTAGTTGCTAGCATCACAGTGAAATCACTGTCAACAAACTGGATACATAAAAAATGTCGATTTACTTAAAACCATGAACATACGGATGACAGATGTCCCTCGACTTATGATGGGGTTGCAACCTGAGAAACCCATTGTAGGTTGAAAATATTGCAAGTTGAAAATGCATTTGATACACCTAATTTACCAAGCATTGTAGCTCAGCCTAGCCTGCCTTAAATGTGCCCAGAACACACACATTAGCCTACAGGTGGGCAAAGTCACCCAATGGAAAGCTTCTTGTACGCTTAAGTGTTGACTGTTTCACGTAGTTTATTGACTACTGTACTAAAAGCAAAAACCAGAAGGGCTGTAATGGGTCCTTGAGGCACAGTGTCTACTGAACGTGTGTCTCTTTCACACTTTCCTAAAGTTGAAAATCGACATCAGGGACCGTCTGTATTTACAATCACAATTAGTCAAATGATAGGATAAATCGCACATTTCATTACTCAAACCCCAATGCAAACTTGTACTTTTAATGTGGAAGTTTGCTTTATATAGCACCTTGAAAAGCACTTACCTTTCAAAATGATATGTCTTATTAATCAGAGGGTGGCCAGGACGATCACATTTCACCAGAACTGTTTCCTGAGAGAAAAGAGTAAAACAATGTCGTAAGACTTTGTGGGCTGCGTTAATTAAACACAAGCCCCACCGACCCCAGCCTGCCGCCTGTTTTTGTAAACAAGGAAGTTTGCCTGGAACACAGCCCCACCCTTTGTTTACATGCTGTGTATGGCTGCTTCTTCCTCCAGGGCAAAGTTGGATGATTGAGTTGGAGACCACATGGCCTTCAAAGATGAAAATATTAACTCCCTGACACTTTCCTGACAAGGTTTGCCAACCCCATAAAGAGAAAGAAAGTCGCATCTACTGAGGAATGCACAACAGAGCTCCTCAATCTGCCCTAGGCCTGAGGGTAAAACACCCGAATTACTGACTCTAAGGGCCTTTGATAGTTCGCAGGAGAGATAAGGTTTCCAAATGGCTAAAGAAATCACATCTCAGACATCATTATATTCCATTGTAACCCATGGAACTAACATGTCTGTTTCAAAAACAAATTTCGATCTTGCTGGACTGTATTCTTAAATTATATCCTGTGTAAGGGAAGCAAAGGCATTTTTCAGCAAGAAATCTGAAATTAGTTTAGTTTCACTTAAGCAAAGAAAAGATGAACCTGGATTGGTTCCACTTCTTTTTTTTTTTTTGAGACGGAGTCTCGCTCTGTCGCCCAGGCTGGAGTGCAGTGGCCGGATCTCAGCTCACTGCAAGCTCCGCCTCCCGGGTTTACGCCATTCTCCTGCCTCAGCCTCCGAGTAGTTGGGACTACAGGTGCCCACCACTCGCCCGGCTAGTTTTTTTTGTATTTTTTAGTAGAGACGGGGTTTCACCGTGTTAGCCAGGATGGTCTTGATCTCCTGACCTCATGATCCGCCCGTTTCGGCCTCCCAAAGTGCTGGGATTACAGGCTTGAGCCACCGCGCCCAGCCTGGATTGGTTCCACTTCTAAAACAAAATATGTATTCATGAAAAAGCAGGGGTAACAGGAAGAATGAAAACACAACTGCAGTGGCGAATAACCCGGAGGCACTGGATTTTTTCTAACAGTGTTTAGCGGATGCTAGGATGATACCTCCACACCGTCTTCTTAGTAGTGTGTGTGTCTGTGTGTGTGCATGTGTATCTGCAATAACATGTCAAAGAAGTGGCCTATTTTGTAAAGACAAAAGCTGTGAGATTCAACAGCTGTTTGTGGTTGTTGTTGCTGTTTGTTATTTGCTTGCTGCTGGATGGGCGGTGGTGGGCAGCTGCCGGAGTCTTGTTGCGTCTGGATTCTGTGAGATCTCCGATGTGAAATGCTGATATAATCAAATAGTGAACCTTTCCTGTCTTCCCAGAGGTGAAAGGTTGCAGGAATCCCTGGCATGCATCTGGGTGAGGCAGCTCAGGAAGCAATGACTGAACACCAGCCTCAGCCCCATGCTGCCTGGGACAGAGCCTCGGCTGTGCCTCGGAGGCAGCCTTGGGTTGCTCACTGCCCCAAGCCCGCTGCTATTGTCCTGTGTAATGAAACAGCGCCCTGGCTATCCCCTAACTGGCCTCTGCCTCCAGTCCAGCACCCCTCCCATCTGTCCTTTATGTTGTTGCTGTAGAAATCTTTCTCAAATGCAAATTAGAAAAGAAGAAAGCAGATGAAAGAAAGAGGGAGGGAATGGGTGACGCAGAATGCCACCTATTGCCGAGAGGTGGCTTGAGTCCTTATTTCAAACTCTTGATTGGACTGGGTAGACTGGGAGGTCACTTGCTACCATGATGTGTATCCAGTTTCCTGGGATGACTTTTGGGAGAGCGGGTGGGGATACAAGCTCGACCGCGGTGACTCTGGCAATGCCGGGAGGAGCAGCCGGTGGCTGGGGTCAGTCCGTGGTCTCTAATGCATCACAGAAGCGACCACCGGGATGCAGAGCTTGCCGGCACGGCTTTCACAGAAGAAGCTTACGTCTCTACTGAGTATTTACTGGGCAGTTATTGTGTACCAGAAACTGTTTCAGAACCTGCATGTTCTTACATGAAAATGTCACATCCCTATGTCAGAAGCAGCTCTTCAGTTCCTTTCACGCTCAAAACACCGAAGCAAAACTCCGACACCCCACCAGGACCAAGCCCCTGGCCTCGCTGTAAGAACAGACCTCCCAGTCCCTAATCCAACCACCAGCCTAGGCCCCTTGCTCCTTTCTCCTGGCGTATTTTCATTTTTCTGCTGTTCACTTAGGGTATACTGTTCCTTTGGTACTATGCCAGAATGTAATCCTAGTGCTCCAGTATGAACTGCACAGGAACACACACCCCAAAGTGTTTTACTGCTGTCTTCAAATGTCCAAGTTTTAACCATAAAGAAAAGCAAATGAAAAATGCAAAGGTCTACAATGTCTGACCCGAAAGCTCAAGGGACACCATACAAGAAACATGCAAAGCCATAAAAACAAGCCTGAGTCCAAAAAGTCCCCCACGTGACTTAGAACTCCATTCCACAGCGTGATCATTCGATCTTAAACATCCAAAATTATTCCACAGCAAAGTTTAATTTTTCCAAACAGCTTCAATGCTTTCCTGCCTGTCCAAAAACCCTCCCCACTCCTGATACTAAATACCCTTAATTTCACAAGAAGGATTCATTTCTCTTGGCTTTTTAAACAACTTTCTTTTATCCAAATTTTCAAGCTCTTGACAGCATCCTTCTTTTTCAAGATGGGATTGCCCATCTGGAGCCACTCCCCTGAAGAGGCCTGCACACACCAGCAGTGGGGACGCATGGCCCCTGCCTCAGGAATCACAAGGTTCCCATGAAATAACCCGTGAAAGCACCTGGCTCAGAGGCAATGATCTCTAAAAGCTGTTTTTCCTTACATTTACCTACTGTAGCATCCAGTTTTTGATTTATATCCCATTTCCTAGGATAACTTTAAAGGCACTTAGGGCATAAAATTCTTTGTCATCAAATGTTAGAGCTAAAAGTACGTTTAATTCACCCTCTTCATTTTAAAGAAGGAAACCTGAGAGGAAGAGGAGACGGGTGAACGACATGCAGACAGAGTCAGGGACTCTCCCAGAGGCAGACACAAAACAGCCAGGAGGGAGGGACTGCACATCAACGTGCTCCGTGCGAGCCAAGGCTGCCTGCTGCGGGTATCAACAGTCCTGTGGATGGCAGTTCAAGGCCCGGTGAACCCGAGTTAAAAAAGAACAAGTGATGTATTGAAGACCATACAGCCTCTGACCATTAAAAATTTTGTCTCAGGTGCATCACGTCTATCAATCCTGCCAAGCACCACCACAAAAACATGCTTTACACTGGCTGCATGTAACTAAATAAGTGTCGTTTGATACACAGGCTCTGTTGACTGTATTCAGACATTCAAGTCAGTAACTGGCAAACTTAACAATAAGGGAGAATCACGGATGAACAAAGACAGTTCAGCAAGAACTTGATACAAAGCCAGAAATCTGTTCTCCCATGTCTGATTATCAACTGAGTGGATATAAATTAAATCAAAAATGAAAATAAACAGCCTTTAAGACAGCCGCCAGGAACTAGGGCAGTAGCCAGATTCTCCATCTGAGATCGACTTTATTAACAGATTGAATCCAAACGATGAAACGTTGAATTAGATTGCAAATGGACATGAAGTGCCGTGTTACACGTCCAGTACAAACTCAAACTCTGTTTAAACTTTTGGAAATAAAAACATAATGTGGGAGCCAGGAGATACAGGGTCACAAAACAGATCATTTGCTTTCTCAGCAGATTTGATGGCATGAAGCCCTCTAGTGAGCAGGCCTATCAAATTAAAAAGCAACATCTTGGATTCTGATTTAAAACAAAAATAAAAACAAAACATAATCCAAAATGCCCCAATAAAATGTTATTTTATTTTGACGGGTAAGATGGAAACTTCAAATATCTGAATCTGAAGATTCGGTGGAACTTTGGCAGGAACGGGAGAGGACTGCCAAGAGAATGAATAAAGTAACAAGGAACAGTAACAACAAACGACAGTGATGTTAATAATCATAATAAGCCTTCCCCAGGGGCTGGGGCCAGGCCTCAGCCTCAGGATGCATTTGCTCACTGAAAAACTCCTTCAGGTTAACCAGGATGCACACAGACTGAGGGAAGTGTAGAAAGGCAATTACTAAACCACAAATACTCGGTGTGTTCACTTATAAAAGAAGGAGATTGATAAGGGGAGGGGATTGATAAAGTCCCAGGGCTCCTGTTAACTCAAAGTCCTGATGATGAGGATTTAATCTGTCTCCTTTTGTTTGACTCAAGCATACTGGTGCTTAAGGCATCAAGTGAGATAAAATATATATATATTTGCATGGTAGGAGCAAAGTCAGGAAGACACTGACCAGAGAGAGCTGGTGCTCAGCTCCCTCCGCCCAAGAAAGGACCAAGGCAATGACTACACAGCTAAGCTCTGACTGTGTGGAAGGAAGAGAGCTGAGATCTGGCAGAGTGCACAGTGCAGCATGGGAGTGGAGAGACACCTGTGTTGACTGGAAGTCCAGGAGGGCAGAGTGGAGGCACCAGGCTTCTGCAGCCCCATCTCCCCTGCCTGGGTCAGATCTGCCTGGAGTCAGAAGGGACTTCCCGTTGCAGGGAAAAGGGAAGCAGCAGATCCCCACCAGCCCCCGTCACCACAGAAAACATCTACAGTCCTTACACCAGGGGAATCCTGCAGTCCTCGCAAGCCCTGAGCCTTCTGGGAGCTGCAGGAAATTCATGGCGCAGCTCCATAGCCCCAGATTAGGAGCACAAGGTGTGCACTGCTCACTCCCCAGCCATCCCTGTGAGCCAAGCTGCTGCAGCACAGCCCCATCTTGAGACCAGAGCCACCTCTGGAGCATACCCTGCTCTGGGGAACAAAAACCATGGCCATTCTCCAGCCTTGGAGCTCCATCTTCATGACGCCAAGCCCACACGTGTGGCTGAACATCACAACCCCAGCTGCATGGAGCCTGGGCTCAGGATTGGCTGTACTCTGGCCTTGCACAGCAGGGAAATCAACCCCCATCACTGC